AATATATACAGGAGGAAGATACACTTTCTCCTTCTTTATTTCATATATTTTTAAAAGTATTTTCTCTCTCTATCCCTCCCCTCCTTTGGTTTCATTGCCTAAGTTTTGTTTCAGAGGAACTGGACTGAGGAGATGAATGTTGTTGGGGAGGGAGCACTGGTATTACCCTTAAATTTTATGCACCAATTATGAGCACATCTACAATATGAAGAGAAGAGAGAGCAGTAGACTGGAAGAGCAGAACTGCTTTTGGATCAATAGATGAGCTGACATTGAGGCTGGAGGAGTGATAGAAGCAGTGGAAGGGATGGACGTATTTGGCAGATTCCTGAAGACATTCAATAGAACACTGAGATGGGGCTGATAAATCAATAGCTCTCTGGGCAGATTAGATTGATATTTTAAATGTATATGGAACTGTCCTAGCCAGGAAGACTGAACAACCACTGAAGGAATAGATAAGCAGAAGAACATTTATTCATGTTTCTGTATCATATTTGTGTGGGTTTGGAAGGAACTGTGTGGAACACCAAGCTCTTTTCTCTTTTGCAGCTGTAAGTTTGCATCAGATGGAAGCTTGAGTTGTACTGTTACTCTGGAATTCCTCAGGCTGGGTGGGCTAAAGTAACAATAAAGAACAAATTATTGTTATAGTGAAAACCACTGAGCACAGAGTTTGTCAGTGAAGAGCAGGACAGGACTGGCACAGCTGTGCCAGGGGTGGGTGGATATTGCCCAGGCTCACCAAGGATATTACCTGGGGGGAACTTGGGAGCACAAGGATGTGAAAAAGGCATTATGGCAAAGCTCCCAGCCATGCCACCAACACGACCTGGAGTCTAAATGACATTCACTGAAGACAAGGACAGCGTTGTCAGTTATTTCAGTGGGAGTAAAACTTATACAAAAGCAAAGCCTTTGTACTCCCTTTGACCAATCCAGCTGCTTCCTCATGCTACCAATTATATCAGCTGTCATAAATTAGAGACTAAATGTTATAAAGTGGTTTTAGTCATCTCGGAATTCCTGGGGTGATTTGCATCTTTTGGTGTGTGCTCGTCAGTGTTTGTCTCTCCCATCTTCCCTAAGAACCTGCTAGAAGTTGAACTTGAAAGGTTTTTTTGCAAGTGACACTGTTGTTGTGTTCACCAGATGTTGCAAAGCTAAATTAAAGACGAGCTTGTACTAATGGAATTTCCTCGAAGTTTACAAGTGAATTATTATGGTTGGAAAACTTGGGCTATTTAATATATATTTCCATGGAGGCATGAGGGGAGGACTGTGCTGAATAAAGGAAGTGTATAATGATGAGGGGGGAAGGATGTCCTTGGTTTGCCTTCCCTCACTGTGAGCTTGGTGGATCAGCCATTCCTCTGTCCGGGTTCCTTTAACCAAAGGGGTTTGTCCTGTACCCTTTCCCTTCCCCAGACTCACTGGCCTGGCCTGGCCTGTTCAGCAAGGATCTCTTCTGTGCTAAAGTATTTTTGGAATAATTTTATTTAAAGGGAAAAAAAAGGTTGCTAAGAGGAACCCAATTCTGTGACAGCTAGGTTAGAGTGATCTTGTCTTTAACTGCAAATACCACTTTATTATATTTGCATGTAAATAGGTGCCAGATAACTGTGTCAGATGAAGAGAACATTTCAAAGTCATTTGCTTACTGGAAAAATAGAATAGCTCAGCAGGGCTTGGAGGGCTCCTAACTGGAGATGTGTTACATTCAGTGTTGATAAAACTGGTCTTTGCAAGTTAACAACCCCTCAAAGTTACCCTAAAATGTGGCTGGCTCTCTGCAAAGCCTCTCGCTGATCCCTGTGAAATTGTGGCATGTTGTTATTTAAAGGAACAGGGAAATGAGACCTGGCAGCTGTGTAGGGCCACAAAAAATGCTTATAGGGCTGACAGAATGGATTTATTTACTTGAGAAATCAATGAGTTAGTAAAGAAACTGGGATATCATTTTCTCCACTAGATATTTGTGGCTGGACACTTGATCTTCCTCCTCTTGACACAAACACTTGTTTCTACTTATGTGTATCATGATTGCTTGAGTCCTGATCATTCACTGGAATGAGGGAGGGCTCAGGAGCTGTTGTTTCCATGCCTGGGATGTTCTCCAGGCTCACGAGCTGTTGTTCCCATGCCTGGGATGTTCTCCAGGCTCACGAGCTGTTGTTTCCATGCCTGGGATGTTCTCCAGGCTCAGGAGCTGTTGTTTCCATGCCTGGGATGTTCTCCAGGCTCAGGGGCTGTTGTTTCCATGCCTGGGATGTTCTCCAGGCTCAGGAGCTGTTGTTTCCATGCCTGGGATGTTCTCCAGGCTCAGGGGCTGTTGTTTCCATGCCTGGGATGTTCTCCAGGCTCAGGGGCTGTTGTTCCCGTGCCTGGGATGTTCTCCAGGCTCAGGAGCTGTTGTTCCCATGCCTGGGATGTTCTCCAGGCTCAGGAGCTGTTGTTCCCGTGCCTGGGATGTTCTCCAGGCTCAGGAGCTGTTGTTTCTGTGCCTGGGTTGTCCCTCAGGAGTGGCAGGCTCAGCCAGGTTGTGCTGGGCTGGCAGAGGGGCTGGTCCTGAGCTCCCAGGGATGGAGGCTCAGGTGGCTCCTCTCTGCAAACCAGGGGGCTTCCAGTGCTGTGTCGTGTGCCCTCTGTGCTCCCAGTGCCTCCAGCAGTGGAGCAGCACTGGGAGAGCTCAGACCCAAACCAAACAGCTCTGACAGCAGATTAGACCAGAATGTTTCCAGGCCAGAATGTCAGTAAGTGGAAGATGGCTGTTTTCCTGGTGGTCCTGCCATTCCCGAGTGTGAAATATGAACTAACAAGTTACTTCAGTCTTCCTGAAAAGTCCAGAAAGTCTCTAAATGTTATTGGAAACGTGAACATCGTACAAAGTTTGGATCCAGACCCACTGTAATTAGGATTTTTTTTAAAAGTATGATATCACTAAACAAAAGTAAGCCTGGGCCCAAAACACAAAAATGTCTGAAGCAAAGCAATTTGCATCACTCCAGGGCTGAGATGAAGTCAAGAGAATGCTTTAAATGTGTGCTGAATCATAATTGGTTTGGATCTTACTTAGCTTAATCCAGCCATTGAATTTCCTTAAGATTGATTTTGAAATTATTTCAGTATGTCAATAATTATCCAATTTAATCCAAATTTCATTTGAATTTAACTTTTGTCAAGGAATCTATGTATATGTGCCCTCAATATATATGCATTCATGCTTGTGCATTTGTGTGCACATGACTGCATGGATCTGTGACCTCAGATTTGGAAGACCTGGGTGTTGTTCTTGTGTATCCTCCCCCTGTGTGGCTTTGCAAATGTTCTTATCTTCTGCATCCCCTCTTGCACTTCTCTCTGGCTTATGGAAGCCTTAACTTTAGGGGAAAGATCACTTTGCTTTTCCTGGTGTTATGGTTTTATGGTGTGTACCAGATTGATGGAAATGGTGACTTCTGGCACTCCCAAAATCCAGACGAGGTGAGAAACTTCAGGGGTTGTTCAACTGCAGACTTCAGGTGATGATTAGCAAACATAATAATATTTGTAAGCACTGAAGTTTAAATAATATTTGTATGGTTTAAACTGCTGCCTAAGCCCAGGCAGACTCAAGACACGTTTGTGTAACATTCCCTGGGCCCTGCATTTGATCAGTTTAACCCCCAACCCCCCCTGGAGCTGCTGACGTTGGAGGGAGATGACCATTCCCAGGCTGCCTGGCCCACTGCAGGGCACCCAGCACCCTCCCTGTCCCTCACCCCCACAGTGACAGGGGCTGGCAATTCAGTTGAACCCAGGCTCAGACTAAATCAAAGATCTTACAGGTATTTTAATCCTCCAAGAGCTAATGAATCACCTGATATAAAATATGAAAGTTTTTAGTCTTTATTAACACTTATATCACCACCTGAACCCACTTTGAAACACAAAGCCCTGCCCATCTCAGGAGTGGATGTGTCATATGTGCTAAGGGTGTACTGAAACCTTGAGCTACTGGGGAAGGCAAGGGCTGGGAATGCAAAGCTGCAGTTTCTGCTGGACAGCCTCTGCTGGTGTCATCACGTGCATGTGGAAGGCTGGGGGCTTTGCCTTGCAGTAAAAACCAAAGACCATATCTCTCAAGCTCTCCCTGCTGCTCTTCAGGCTTGATGTGAGTGCAGACACCTGAAGTTCCTGTGAGCTGAGACAGGCAGGACTGTGCTGGGTTCAATCTCAGGCAGGAATGGCTCCCTGGGCTCTGTGGTAGGTTTGGGCTCCAGCTCTGGGTTGCAGCTGGGCCAGCACCTTCCAGCAGGTCCTTTGAGCCTCGTGCCCCTGCTGTGTGGGGCTGGGGCACTTCCCTCCTGCCTCAGCTGCTCAGCAGATCGTGCCTGGGAGAGCAGGAAAAAGATTATAACTGAGAATTCCTGTGATGGTGGTACCTCTGTGGAGAGCAGTGGCCTCCAGATGTCATGGACAGCTTTGAAAATCCCATCCTCTGCATTGCTAGATAATGAAACAATTTTAACTCAACCCCTCTCTCCTCCCTCCACTTGCCCCTTTAACCACCCCATGCTCAGTGTGCTGAAATCTTGGGTCAAACTAGCAGATTATCATTTTGTGTTCAGGATGTTTAATGTAAGGGGAACTTGGATTCCCAGTGGTGTCACTAGGGAGAAGAAATAATTCCAGTAAGTAACCTGTGCTTTCTAATATGATGGCTTTGATTTTGGATCACAGTTAACTTGTTCTTTGTCTTTCTCATCAATACTCTTAATATTTCAGATTAATAATCTATCACTCAGCTGATGGGTAGAACTTGGATAAGTAACAAAAGAAAGATCTGAAAGTTGAAACAAAATTTTTACTGTGAACTCCTTTGACCTTTGAAAAAGAGATTCATACTTTCTCTAAAAAATATTTTCCATTTTTACTCAGTTCACTTCCTGGTTATGCCTGGGAACAAGGAGCAGGAAGCACCATAAATCTTGTGAAAAAACCTGTTCTGGCCAGTTTCCTAGCCCAGCTTTGCTGATCACTGAGTTTTGGATCATTGGAATAACTTCATGTAAGTAACCAGGCTCATGTGCTTCTTCAAGCCATTTGAAAACTCCAAATCCCAAGAAGCCAACTCGTTGCTTAGTCTAGGCAGCATGAACTCTACCCTTTTCTGCCCAGCTTTTTTTCCATGTATAAAATACAGTGTTAGGGCTGCTTTGTTTTTTGGATGAACTTGGTGCTAATGTGACTTACAGTTTTACAGCCAAGTACAATATAAGTGGGCGTCGTGCAACCTTCCCTCACACTGCTTTGCTAATGCATCCTAATCCTGCCTGGTGATACCTTGTGCTGTCCAGAGCCTGAATTAATCCTGAGCAGAGTTTACTGGTTGTGCTAAACCACCATAAAATCACTCCAGAGCTTTCCTTGGCTTAGCTTGAAGTTAACAAGTTGTTCCCTTTGCAACAGAGAAAAGCAACTTTGAACCTCAGCTCATAAAAAATGACCTGGGAGTAGATTTTCAGATTCATTCCCGTTTTATCTCGTGGTGGCACAAGGCTCTGTGAGGGGCACAGTGAGGCCAGTCAGGGTGGCAGGTGAGGCCACGTTGCTCAGGGCTGTGCATACAGGTGCGTGCCCAGTCGATATCCCCAGGAATGCTGATGTTCCCTTGGGCATTAGGTCTGTTTTGGTCTGGGAGAAATGCGGGGTTTGCCAGGGCAGTGCAGCCCCCCTGGCAAAGGGCTCTGTGCCTGTCACACCTTGACTGGCTGAGCGGTACCAGGGGGATCACAGAGCTGTCAGCACAGAGCATTAGCATGAGAAAGGGAGCGCTCCTCGTGTTTTGGCACCTCACAGCCGAGTGACAGGGAGCACAAATACAGTCAGGCACACACAACAGTGCAAGTCAATGTCGGCTTTGACAATGTTGGGCACCAAGGCTGTCACTCCTTTGACACAGCCCCTCCTTCCCCCTGCCCACGCTGCCATTCGCAACAGCAGCTCGCCCACCGCTTTTATTTCTGCACAATGTGTCAATAAGTACTTGTCAGGCCTCTGCTTATAGACCTGGGATGGTGAATAAACGCTTATTATGCCTGGAAAATGTTGCAAGCTTTACCATAAATCTTGTGTTACAAATGCACACAATGGGGGTATTGACACAGAGGCAAACACTGCCATTAACATGGGAAGTCACGCTGCCCACAATGCAGTTTGACAAACTAACTTGCAGCAAAGGAGTTTGTTGACCTTTTCTTTGCCTTCCTGGCAACCAGACTGGGCTTGTGTGTGTTAAAAATCCAGCTGAATGGGAGATGAGAACAGATATAAACTTCTTCCTGTCAGGGCTGCTGGAGTGAGGCTGCTCTGCATCTGAGAGCACTTCAGAGCTGCTGTTATCGGAAATCATCCTTGGATATACAGGAGCTGAGCAAATGTGCAAAAGCTAAAGTTGACTAGATTTGATTTCAGCAACCCATAGGGTTCTGCCTGGGCCTGTTGACCCAGCAGAGGCCCTGACTGAAACATTATTTTGTCCTGGCAGCCACTCAGGGCTTGCCCCTACAAACTGCATTTCTCGCTGCTTCACCTCGCTGGGTTTCTGGTTGTTCCTGGCAGTGGATTGGAGCTCTGGTTTTGATGTACTGGAGTGAATTGTACAGAAGGTGCTTGTGTCAGAGGTGAAGGTGTCATGAACTGAGCCTGGAATAAGAATGTTTGAAAGGAACTTTACAGAAGTATTAGTTTGGGCTTGAATTTAGGTACCTGACTGAAGGCTCAGAACTGACCTTTTTAAGCACACACATCTACCCTCTGGGTGTCATTAGGAGGGACAGGAGAACTCCACAGCATAGTTCTCCTTGTAGGTAATCTGAACTGCTTCCTACAAGTTTTCATTATTTTCCACTGGTTTCATTTTATTCTTATGTTTTCTGACGGTTTTCTTTTTCTATTTTGTCTTTGAAAAGTTCTTGTTTAGTTTATGCCTATTTCTTCCTGCATCAAGTGACTGAAGTTATCCTATACTTGTTTAACCCTTTCATATTTTCAATAATCTTTTCCTACAGTTTTTTTCTATCCTTTAGTATCTACTTCACTTACTTGTTTATTTATTTTTGCAAGGAGACTTCAATTTCATTTTTATTAGCCATTTGTCCATAAGATTTCAGTCTTAGATCTCCTATCTGGATCTAATGATCCCACGTTTGAGTTTTCAAATGCTAGAAAAGAATATTTTTAAAGAAGTGCTGCTTAAACCACAATGTAATTGAGAAAACAGGAACACATTTCTTTTGGGTAGCCTTTAAAACAGACAACTTCTTTTAAGAGAAAAAGAATTTGTTTTGCTTTTAGTAAAACCTGAAGTGTGGAATATACTTGACCTCGACTCTTTAAGCAGCCCCAAATCTCTTTGGCTGCTCTGGATGTGTAAACTGGTTTTGTCCCTGCCTGTTGTGGTGCACAGATGAACGTGTAAAACCCCATGTACCAAGTGCAATAAAAGTCACACCAGAGTTCCCATGCATGTCTGCATCTGTAGAGCTGCCAGGGCACTTTGTAAGGTCAGTGTAGTGTTGACACAATCTCTGGAAGAAACACATGGCCTGGATTTATCCCATCTGACTTGAGTTCTGGTTCCACAGCAGTTTAAACCAGCCTTGGTCTGTCTTGTCCTGCTGCCCCCTCCTTGCCCACACACAGAGCCCTGGGCACCCTCCTGCCCTGCCCCAGGTCAGACCTGGGGAGTTATGCAGGAGCTCAGCTGGCAGCAAACTTGGCTTTTTTAGTGGGATTAATTTTCTTTTGGTGTTGCTTCTTGAATTGATTCACTACAAATTCAACCAAGCACAAGGGAAGGGTCATAAACACATCATGGGGAGGGAGGAGGGTTTTGGCTTTTGCACAACCACACCTTTAGGCACTAAACAGTTCCCCTGAATTAGAAGTCTAACTATCCATGTCCTTCTCCTTCCACACTGAGCAAAGGAAAAAAGGCACCACCAGAAGAGTTTTCAGGTCCCTGCCATCTCTCTACTGACAATCCTTCATTCTGGTGGCATTTGGCAGGACAAATATTCACTGTTACCTTAAACAGACCATGTCTGCTTTGTTTTAAGTATACTGGTCTCAGTTTGGGATAAATGCACTGATAGCAAATGTTTTGTCACTGTGAGATTATTGGATTGCCCCTTGCTCCTCAGCAGTGAACCAGGAAACTCACCTCTTGCTACTTGTAAGGAAAAGGGATTTTTCACTTTTGACTCTGCTTCCTCTGTCACGGGAGAGCATCTGAAGTCTCTCAGTGTGTCCTGGGGCTGTGCTGAGCTGACCTAAATTCTACCCAGAGCCCTCAACCTACTGTTTTCTAATGGCTTGGTTTCTCTTACACCCTGGGGCTAAAGCTCAGGGGGAGGTGTAGCAGGACCAGTGTGGAGCACTGCTGGACTGACTTGTGTTACATCCATTTGTAGACGGAAGTACCTGAGGTGGAGCTCCTAGTATTTCCTCTTCCATGCCTTTTTGGTGCCCTGCTTTTCCAGGAAAAGGTCTAGAAAGATGAATTCCCAAATAAATAAATTGTTGTTTTTCTTTCTGAGCTCTGCAGAAACTCAGAAAGGTGAAGGCTGTAATAGGAACTCAGCACAGAGAAGCTGGCTGGCTTTGAGAGCCCCTTTTGGCTTTAGAGAGAACAGACTTAGAAAGTCTGGTCTGTTTTCTAGGAAGAAAGCCTTCCTGAAACACTTATGAGGAATATTGTGTATGCTTAGTTCTGTCATGTTTGTGGCTTTTTCCCTTTGATCCAGTGCTCGGGTGTCACTTCAGCCTTCGAAACAGTGAATGAGGTAAAACAACGACTAAATCCAGCTGTGCTACTTCATAACCTTGTTTAGAGAGCATTTTGCTAAATTAAAGCATGTCTGTGTTCCACCCATCCCAGCATAAGTGCTGGGCATCTCACCCTCTTCTCTCTGTTAACACAAGTTTCAAACTGTTTCTCTTCATTCCAGAAAGCCTCTGTTCTTTTTGTCACCACAGTGTCCAGTCTGAAATTTCATAGAAAACTGAGAAAACTTGAACAGCTGAATTTATTGTTCACAGATAGATATTGCATCCTTTCCCTCCACCACAGAAGAGCACTGAAGCACTTTATCTCAGTTTTGCTTTCAACATTAAGGACAGGGAGGGAACAGGGTTCGATTTAACTGTAATTGCAGGGGAGACTTTGAGAGGCACAACTTAATGAGAATCACTGGCACTTGGCCTGGAAGATAAAACCAAGCCCATCTCTTAAATAAATAAATAGGCACACAGGTTTTTCTCTAATACAAGTGGGCAGGAGTTTAGTCTCACATGTAGAAGTTTCCAGCTGAATGGCCTCCAATTTTTGGGCTCTGCAAATGTTACATCCCTTCCAGAGGTATTATGATGCTAACAATTTAAACTGGGAGACTTTCATTCTCTACCTTTTTTCCATGTGGCTACTCCCAAAGTTAATCTGGTTCCGTTAGGGAAATTAGAAGAAACAAAGAACTAGTCCCTTGGGTTTTTTGTTTTTTACTTTTTTATTCTAGTTTCTGACTTTTGAGTTGATTGCAGGTTTGTTTTGGGGCTGTGTTTTGTAACAGAAAACCTGTGGTTACAGTTCTGCAAACAGAGCCTGTGCTCCAGTCCTGCCATCTGCCAGCAGGGCCACGGTGGGCACAGAGGGGCTGCTGTGTGAGCTTTGGCCAGTGCAGCTGTGCCAGCAGGAGTCACTGCTGTGAGAGTGGCTGTGCTGACAAAACGTCCAGAGGGTAATTTTGTCACTGCTTGTATGACATGACCTTTCCCACCCAAAATAAACACAGTACAAAAAGCTGAATAGTTGTCTAATAGCCACTGTCTCCTGCTCAGGCTCTGGAGGTTTTCATGTGGCTCTGTGGGTGGAAAACAGGCACGGGACTGTGCTGGTAACTCTGTGTGCAGGGATGGGCTTTGTTTGTGGCCCCAGTCAAAGTCTGTTGGAGCTGTGACATTTCTGAGCTGGATCCTCCATTCCCCTGGGTACAAGTGTCCTGAGATCCC